TTTCAATAAATTTAATAACAATATCTTAACTTTATTATAAATATTGGAAACTACAGGTACCAGAAAGCATTCATGATTAAGGTGACCACAATAAAACTGAATACATTAAAATCTTTCTTTCTTAGAAGTTTTTATAAACTATGTTACTGTCAATTGTTCAAGGGTTTAAAGTTTCTAGTTAGGTAACTTAAAAAGGAAAAATACAAGCTAATGGATAAACTATACATGAAGACTATGTTAACTGAAGAATCTCCATTCGATAGAGGTTGAAAATAGTTTCTTTCATGATTATACTTTTTCAATCCTGCTAATTTTTAAAAATCTGATTTACTTCAATGATTTCCTTGAATCAACATGTAAAACTGCTTGTTTGAAATTCAAACTGTTGTATAAACTTCCTGTCAACTTATATCTCCTTTTGCAATAATTAATTCTCTCATTCCATATCGAGTTAATGATGCATTCAGAACATCACTAAAAACTGCTTGGACATCTGATGGAACCAATTCTCCACATATTCATCTGATGCCTATAGATATGTTGGGCTGCTGGTCATCTTTGCACATAACCAGTCCTACCTCTCCATCTAGACTATAAGCTCCTGGAAAAAGAACCCATGTCTTTCTCTTGCCTTCCCTGATTTTAATTTCTTTCTCCAACAGCAAGAATATAACAGATGGGACAGAAGAAAAGATGACATCAGAGGAGGTTGTCTGCTTTGCTCCCAGAAGGATAATTGAAGATGGTATAGATAGGCACTGGACTCAGAGATCCTGTGACTTAGGTCAAAACCAGAGCACCTGGTGGACATTGAGGACCAATACTGACTGCAACAGGACACTGAGGAAATACAATTCTCTGCAACAATAGGTGGGTGGTCAGAGGTACCTGGAAACTGCATAGGGTGGGAACCTGCATGTCTGGGTTTGGCTGTTGTCCCTGGGAAGGGAAGTGCTGATTGGCCTGGAGGCACACACATGACTGTGCAGAGATAGATGCTGAGGTGCTGGCAGACAGGGTTCCCAGTGAAGAATATAGTGTGAAGTGTAACTGTCTTCCTTCCACCTGCTACTGTGAAGTGCCACTGAAATCCTGAACTGCAGACTGTGGAGACGTGTGTTCGTAAACCCAGAGAGAAGGCCTATCAGTGGTGCTACAAATGTAAGCCCGCCCTACACAACACTTTCACCAATGATTGATGGCTTCACTACCTTTGAAGATGAACTAATACATATTTTTCTTAAACTCTTCTAAACCATTGAGAAGAAAACTTTCAAACATATTTCATGAGGCCAACCTGACCCTGATACCAAAAACAGACAAAGATACCACAATAAAAGAAAATTGTAGGCCAATTTCCTTAATGAACATTGATGTGAAAGTCCTCAAAAAAATTTTGCATACCAAATTCAACAATGCATTAAAAGGATCATAGACCATGATAAGTAAGATTTATTCCAAGGACATGAGGATGGTTCAATATCAAGAATCAATGAAGGTAATTCGCCACATCAACAAAAGGAGATATAAAAATCATATGATCACATCAACAGATGCTGAGAAAGCATTTGATAAGAGCCAACATCCATTTATGATAAAGACCCTTAAAAAAGTGGGGATGGGACATATCTCAACATATTAATGGCCATATATAACAAGCCCACAGCTAATATCATTCTCAATGGTAAATAACTGAAAACTTTTCCACTAAGATTTAGTACAAGACAAGAACATCCACTTTCACCACTACTATTCAATATAATTTTGGAAGTCCTAGCTAAAGCAATTAGGTATGAGAAGGATATAAAATGGATCCAAATTGGGAAAGAAGTAAAACTATCAGTATTTGCAGATGACATGATAATATACATAGAAAACCTGGGCCTCCCCGGTGGTACAGCAGTTGAGCACTGGGCTACAAAGCTGCCTGCAGCCTCTGCAGCACCAGTTTGATCCCTGGCCACCGGGGAGGGTCCCACATGGCATGCAGACCTCTCCTGCCACGCCCACTGCTCCCCTCAGCAGTGTACTTCATGGGTCTACCTGCTCTGCTCCCCACTTTGGCTCTAGTGAATTCTCTCACCCTCCCACACTTCTGACTGAACCCAGTGCTTGTATAAATAAATAAAAAATAAATCTTTAAAAAAATACATAGAAAACCTTAAGCAAAGTAGTAGGCTACAAAATACATTCAAAAATTAGTTGCATTCCTTGATGCAAACATGAACTAGAAGAGGAAGAAACTAAGAAAACAATCTCATTTACAATCATATCAAAGTTTACTAAGAAAAAACTTAAGAAAGGAGGTGAAGGACCTATACAATGAAAAAAATAAGACATTGTTAAAAGAAATAGAATACAACAAAGAAAAGATATCCCTAAGTCATGGATTGGAAAAACTAACATTGTTAAAATGATTCCGTTACCCAAAGCAGTATCCAGATTCAATGCAATCCTCATTAAAGTTCAATGGCATTCAACAAAGAAATAGAACAAACATTACTGAAATTCATCTGAATAGCCAAAGCAATCCTGAAAATAAAGAAGAATGTTGGTATCACACGTCCAGACTTCAAGCTATATTATAAAACTATAATAATGAAAACAGTATGGTACTGGAGCAAAAAAAGACACACAGACCAATGGAACAGAATCTAGCATCCAGAAACAAACTTACAAGAAATAAACTCTTGTTTTGCCACACCTATATGGACAATTAATCTATAATATAGGAGCTAAGAGTATACACCGGAGAAAGAAAAGTCACTTCAATAAGTGGTGTTGGGAAATATCATTTGCAAAAGAATGAAACTATACACTATCTCACACAACACATATAAATTAACTCAAAATGGATGAAAGACTTGGATGTAAGACCTGAAATCATAAAATACATAGGGGAAAACATAAGCGAAATACTTCACAACATAGGCTTGTGGATTCATCTCTATATGTGGCTTCATCTCCAACAGCAAGAAAAACAAAAAAGAATACTCTACCTCAAACTAAAAAGCTTCAGTACAATGAAAAACTATCACCAAAACAAAAAAAGATACCCTATTGAGTGGGAGAACATATGTGCACACCATACATCTAACAAGAGACTGATACCCAAGATCTACAAAGAAATCATACAATTAATGAAAAAAGAACAAATAATCCAATAAAAAAAATGGGCAGAAGAGCAAAATAGGCTCTTCTCCAAGACATACATATGGCCAACAGGCATATGAAAAAATGTTCAACATCACTTATTATCAGGATAATGTAAATCAAAATGTCAATGAGATACCACCTCATACCCATGAGAATGGCCCTTATTGAAAAGACCAGAGAAAACAAGTGCTGACAAGGATGTGGAGGGAAAAAACACTCACACACTGTTGGTGGAAATGTAGACCGGTCCATTCCTTATGGAAAACAATATGGAGATTTCTCAAAATATTAAAAATAGATCTACCATATGTCCCAGCAATTCCATTCCTAGGCATCTACCTAAAGAATGTAAAACTATTAATATGAAGGGATTTTTGCACTCCTGTGTTCATTGCAGCACTGTTTACAATAGCCACACTATGGAAGCAACCTAAGTGCCCAAAGACAGATGAGTAAATCAGGAAGATGTGTTATATATACACAAAGGAATACTATTCAGCTACCAAAAAAAAAAGGATAAACTCTTGATTTTTGTGACGATGTGAATGGAACTGGAGGGTATTATGCTAAGTGAAATAAGTCAGAAGGAGAAAGACAAATACCAGATGGTGTCACTATATGTGGAATATAGAGAAACAACACAAGGCATCAGATAAACCCAAACCAGCAACAAACCCTACAAATCTGACCGTAGAATTAAGTTTACCATAGGGAGAGTAAGAGGAAGGAAAGTAAAGCAGGGAGGGGCACAATAGACAATGGTGAAATCCCAGAGTGCCCTGGTAATATATGTGGTAACACATCTGAAGGTTATGATCCTATACCACTAAATCATACACATTAAAAAAAATTTTAAGTTTTTGAAGACATCAAAAACCTTTATTTAGACTTTATTTGCCATATTCAAAAATAAAACTGACACAGATGGTTTGGTGGAGGGTGAGTAGAACAAATGCACATACAGAAAAAACAAAAATGTAATCCCCAATTTAAAATTTACAAAGATATAAGTAAAAGTGAGAAAATGTACATATATACATATATGTGCACATGTATGTATGTATGCATATATATTATATACACATTCAGATGCTCAATACCGACGTGTTACTTAATGAGGGATACAGGAATGTTTTCAGAGAAATGCATCATTAGGTGATTCTGTTATGCAAATATCACTGAGTGTGCTTACACAAACCTCAATGGTACAGACACCTACACCCTCAGGCTATATATAGTGAGCACAGTTGTATAAGCCATTGGTTGTTGGCTGAGATGCCATTACGCAGAGTATGAATGTTAACTGAGCGAAATAAAATCTTAGGGCTATAGGATGTGCAACATTAACATTGCACTGATCAGTGATCTGAGAGGCTGAAAAGGGCAGTCAGGGTATCGCATCCTACAAATGACAGATAGTTGATATGAGTCTGGAGGTATGAGGTGAGACTTATAACTATGAATGGGATCCATGCCTGGGAAAAACAAATGCTCAGCTGGGAGCCAGCGCCATGTGGAGAAACACTTTCGATGAAGGCAACACTGGATAGGCCAAGTTTTCTTTTCATCATAAAGGCATCTTCATGAATTGATAGATTTACCTAACACGGAGCTATAATTAAAGCACAGCTGTATCATTGCAGAATATCTTGCTATTTTTAGAAAAAAATATAAGAAAGTTATTATGAATCTTGTTGAAAGAAAAGCTTTGCTTTTTCAGCTACTGAATAATCCTGAGGACAATGTCTATGTTTAACCAAGGGTCTTTTCTACTGTATCTAGGTTTCACTTTTTGACACATAATGTATATAAAGACAGCTTCTTAAAACAAATTTTAAGCCCAACACGCCGACTCCCGCGACAGCATGGTGGCCTACTGGCGACAGGCTGGGCTCAGCTACATTCGATACTCCCAGATCTGCGCAAAAGCAGTGAGAGATGCTCTGAAGTCAGAGTTCAAAGCCAGCGCCGAGAAGACTTCCGGCAGCAGGGTAAAAATTGTGAAAGTGAAAAAGAAGTAATGTACCCTGACTAAAGCTTGTGATGCTCCATTTTCGAGGTGAAGATGTGTGGGCGCACGTTATGGCGGAAAAATACCTGTCTTGCTGGTAGATTGACTATGTCAATAAATTGAATTCTGCTTCCAAAAAAAAAAAAAACCAACAAATTTTAATGTGGTAAAATAATCTTGAGTATACATATATCTACTTTCATGATTAGAAAGAAACATGTCAGACATCAATTTCTATTGTTATCTAAATAGATAAAGGTGGTAAAAGTGAATTATAAAATTAGGTGTCAGATCAGCAAACAAATGTGAGGTACCACTATTAAGGCTTATACTGCCTGAACATGTTATGTGTGCATATCCACATTTATAAATGCTAGACTCACATAAATTACTTGTTCAGAGCTAATCAGATGAGGAGGTCAAGTTTATGTTTATTAATACAAGAACTGAAATCAAATTAAATCTTGATTAAGTGCTATGAATCATCTGCTTTAAGGGATCAGGTTAAGAAAGTTAAATGTAAGCATATAGTCAACTAGCAGTTCTGTTGGAAACTCTGAAAAAACTCAAAATTATGCACAGCAGACAGGGAATCAATTGATAATTTTACAAAATGGAATCCAAGACCTTTCCAAAATATTTAAAATAACATTTGTCCAAATCTCTATGCTTATGACTGCATTAGATTATACAGAAGCAAAAAAAAAATCATTTCCACAGTATAAATGCAGCTTCTAAGTCTTTGCTATCCAAAAGGACCATGTAGAGACATGTCAGAAATGAGCAGAGCCCTTGGAGGTCTTTCCCAAGAGCCCCACAGTCATGGAGAACCCCTTCTGAACAACCCAGGAAGAGCCCCAGAGAGTTTTGAGCCATACCCTCAAATTGCTGAGGACACATACTTTTTCTACCTGTCCCAAATCATTACATTTTTAGATTCCTTTTCTTTAATGATGAGCCAGACTCATGTTCATCATTAAAAAAGAAAGAAGAAAAAACAACCTTAATGAAGACATTTGCCTTAGAAACTGCCATAATCAAAGACAGACCTTTTCAGATGTAATTACATTTTTCCAAGATAATTTATCCTATTAAAATATGGTAATTTACCATGGATTCAGGTTATCTGAAACCTTTCTAAGATTGAAAGCTAAAGTTAATTTCTTTCTATAAGCAGTATAATTTGAACCTATGAGAATTAAGGACAATTTTATAGTCTAATACACATATAAATGTTAAAACCTTATATGCAATGTACTTAAAGAATCTGACTGTACCCCAGGAATGTGCATGTGGTTTGGTATGAGAATGAAAAGGGGAGCTCTGAAGGAACACAACTACCCTCACCAAAACTGATCCACCCTTTCCATGGCAATAGGAAGAAAGTCCTTGCAGAAATGTCACTTTTGACAACATCAGTATGCCCAATTCAAAAATCAGTGTGATTGGAGGTTTAATGAGGCACTTTGTTATTCCCTGCAATAAAAACGGGAAAAATAGAGACACAGTTCTTCAGGCTTAATTACCACATCTGTTATTAGGCACTTTACGGTGATTGACTGGAGTGTATGTCGGACACGTTGCCAAAAATGCCTCCCCATAAAAGCAGCTTCCTGCTCACTGCCTGAATGGCATGGGTCTCTGTTACAACCAGGATTTCCATGGCAAAAGAGCAAAACTTGGCGGACACAAGCCCCTGTGCCAGCTGAAGGCACTTTTTCCCTGGTGCCAGGGAAGCTGGGAGCAGGGCCTGGGCGGCCTGCTCTGGCTTCTGCTTCTCTCCTGCCTTGGGCTCCACCACACTTCCCTGAACTCATGCTAAAGAAGCACAGTGTGAGAGGAAGAAGTGAGGCAAGACAAGGAGGGACTGGGTTGTGGTCTGTTGTGATGCCTACTTGCAGACATTAAAATTAGAGTTATGAAGGGATGCTGCAGATGAAAAGTATTTTCTAGCTTCATGTAATTACGACTTTAAAAAGTGCAAGTAACCTACAACATCAAGAAGCCAGCTTCCTAGGATACAGAGTTCCTTGAATGCCTTGGATACTAAGAACACAGATGATTATGTGTGAAAATCAACCGCCAAATTGGATTTTAGGAATTTAGTGTCTCACTCTATAATATACATATTAGAGAAACTTATTGCCATCTTTCCTAGTGTCCAATGAAGCTGCTCATTAATCACTTCATGTCTTTTTATGCAGGCAAGCGGGGGGATCTATTAATGAAATGCCACTTCATTTGAAAAGTATCCCATCACTCAACTTTTAAAACTCCACAAATCCAGACAACACAGTTGTGTGTATCCCTAAATCAAGTTAGTCTACAGGTACACAAAACTACTCTTCGGACCAGATGTATAAACACCTGGATTGTTTGCAGCAAACAATCTCATATCTGAACACATGCCAGTAGGAAACACACAAATACTCACCTAACCCTGGTTGTTTAAAGTAAACAAAAACCTGATGGCTCAGAAATTGTGACATATGGATGCAACATGAGTAATGAGAAAAGACTTAGACATACACGCCTTATAAATACACTCTTCTGGAATAATCAAGCATAAAGACGTGGCCTTTCTGGTATTTTCTCTCTCTGTATTTCATTTGCTCTTCTAGGGTGAAACTGTATACATTTATAGGTAAGATTGTGTATGTTTATTATGTACTCCCCAGTAGCATTTTTATATATACCAAGTAATGCTTATGGTGTTTTGGATGTGTGGTACTGTTAATGGTGATTTGTGTACAAAATATATTCCAGAAATAATGAGTGAAGAATGAGATACTGGCAAGCAGGAAGAGAATTTTCTAAGTTATCTTTCTGTCTTTGGGATAGAGACTGAGCATCAGTTTCCTAGAGGTTCATCCCTAGAACCTACCTACTTTTCAACAATCTTTCTACCCTGAATATAAAAAGGGACTTTAGAAAATAGATCTCAGCCTTCTCAGACAAATGCCAGTCAGCTTGGCTTCATACACATCCTGCAAGTCATGATTGCGAGAGTCCTCTCCATTCCCCAGGCTTGTGAAATTTGACTTTTCTCTCCTGAGACCCTATAATATAAATGATTGGAGGCCCTTTCAAACTAATCCTTTTCTTCTTTATCTACAATGAGTCTTTGTGATCCCCTGAGAAAAGGGATGGTAGAGCATGGTAAAAGTGAAATCCAACAATTCTGAGATTATATAAAGGCCACTCTCCAAACAAGTAAAAAAAGAGCTGAGCCACTTCAAAGCAAAATTCCTTTAAATGATAAACTTCCCCAAGTAATAGTTTTTGTGGTTTCACAAAGAAAGGTTATGCACATTAATATTTAAAAAGTAATTTGGGAATGGGTTCTTGGATAAGACACCAAAAGCACAGCAGTAAAAGAAAAGAGATACATTGGGCTTCACAAAAATTGAAAGATTTTGTGCATCAAAGGGACACTATCAAGAGAATGAAAAAGCAACCCATCCATACAATGGGGGAAAGTATTTGCAAATCATATATTTAGTTAGAGGCAAATGTCCAGAATATGTGTGTGTCTATATATAGACACACACACACACACATATACAGGTATATACAGATTAAAAAATGGCAAAGGGCATGAATAAACTAAAGAATATATATACCAATGTCCAAAATCCACCCAAAAAAGAAACTCAATGTCATTAATTGTTAGGACGTTGAAAATCAAAACCACAATAGTAGTCCTGCTATTATCAGAACACAAAACACACAAAATGAAAACCAGAAAATAACATAAGTGTTAGTGAAGGTGTGGAGAAATTGGAACCTTGTATGTTGCTGGTGGGAGTGTAAAAATGCTGTGGAAAACATAGTGTCTCCTCAAACCTTCAACATGAATTACCATATAACAGACCAATTTCACTCTGATTATAGACTCAAAAAGAATTGAAAGCAGGTTCTCAAACACATTTGTACACTGACAAATACATGGCAGCATCATTCCCAACATCCAGATGGCAAGCAACACAACTGTCTATAAAGGGATAAACAAAATGTGCCTTATACATACACTACAATATTATCCAGGCTTAAAAAGGAAGGAGATTCTGACCCTTGCTAAAACACAGATGAATTTTGAAGACATTACGCTCAGTGAAATAGCCAAAGGACAAAAATTGCATGGTTCCACTTTTTAATGTTATATTTATTTTATCACAATTAAAAAATAAAAGAAATACGTAGAGGTAAGTCAAGATCTAAGGATGTAATTAACAGCTATCTACCCAAGAGGCAGGGACTTCTTTCTTTCGTTCCCCATCTGTATGATTAAAACATCCACACATTTGTCCATGGATCACCCGTGGATTTGTAAAATCTAGTTTAGCACTAAAGTTGGAAAGAAAGAAATATCAGCAGATGTAATAACAGCGAGAGTCTGTGTCAGTCACCACAGCCTCCTCTGCAGAACGACTGGCGGGAATGTTACCTCTCCGCTCTCCTAGAGAGCTCTGAAACAGATGACAATTCCTCCAGAATCCAGACACAGAAACCGAAATAGAGCAATTTAACTACCTCTCAATTATAAGGAAATGGAAACCAAAAGGCATCAAACATTTGGGAGCCACTGAGCAATGCCAGAATTCCAGCTCACCACTACCGTCTGCCTGGATCCAAAACTTTGATGCAATTGTTTAACTTGGAATGAACAGACTAAGGGATCTGGGCTTGTGTGTGCCCCTTACTTTCTCAGAGAAATTCTAAGGAATTTGAGATTTTAAAGAAACTTGTCTTCCTCGATTTCCATTCTAAACTCACTTTGGATTTTCTGAGTCATAATGAAGTAGCTTTGCTTTAGGGTTTTATTCTTCTTCTTGCTCCCCTGCCCCCCCATAATTACTAATAAAGTTAAGATTATACAAAACAATACTGTTTTGAATATAGAATGCAGATCTCAATCCCTTCTGGCAGGTACTCCTACAGAGCAGTTGTTATTTATAATACCTATAGGGAGCGAAGAGATTAAAGGATCAAATCACCCTGCACTTCCCAACAAAGCAGACCACAGCTGTACCATGACTTCTGAGCAACTGCTCGGTGAGGAGACAGCAAGACT